TAGTACAAGTATCTCTGCAGCTTCGTTTTTGTTGTCGTTGCGCTTTTGTTGCTGTCGCTGTGGCATTGTTGTTGCCTTCTGCTGCCGGTTGTGCCATAAACGTTTCTCTAGACTTCATGTGGACTCACTTAGTACACTCGTAGCTCATATAATGGGGTTGTTTTGTTACCGTGTGGAAGCGGATTTCAGAAAAATTGTATTGTACAATTCATAAAATCAAATAATATCTTTGTTATTTCACATCGTTGCTGTCTGCTTTTCTTTCGAGTATTATTTGTGCATATGTAGCATACTAAGTTATATGCTGCCCTCATATACAAGTGACGACTTCCTTTTCCTTTATTGTTGTTTACGCACGCCACTTTGTGCGGTTATTGACAATTTCTTTCATTGAAGGAGATGATTTGTAGTAATGCAATATTATTTGATTGTGTTCATAAAGTGACATTTATATTTTTATTTGTGTATTGGAATATGTTGCCTTTTCTGGATAATATTTATTTATATTGATGAGATATTTGTTAAGCATTAAATATTTTATGAGAGTTTTAATTTAAAATCTCAATCTAATTTCAGCTTTAGCTCGGTTTTGTAGTACTTTCAATGATATCTTAGATATAGCTCGAAGTAAAATCTCAAACCTGTTTTTTTTATATCTACAAGGTGTCACATTATGTAAAGCGCGCCATATATGTTCATAATATGTTTCTATCAAGATCACAAATGTCCAAAGACAATTTTTTTTAAATAAAAAAAAATATTATTTTTCAAAAATATGGTTTTTGAAAACAAAAAATGCTCTAATAAATTTTTCTGTAAGCGCTCAAATTAACTAGGCAAGTGTATAGCAATGTACGAGCTATTAACGTAAATAAATTGTGAAATTTATATATGAAAGTTTCTCAAAATATTTATATGGATATGTACTATATTCAAAAAATATTCTATATTTATTATTTAAATTTTCGAAAACGTAACAATAATTTTCTGTTAGTGTAAAATTTTATTAGTCAACAAAAATTTCTCATGCAAAGCTAGTTTAAATTCATAGCTTATTGAGGTAGTTGAAATTTCTTCATTTAAAGCAATTATGGTTTCATTCAGATGTCTCCATACAAGTTGTGTCTAAGTTGTTGGAACAGACTCGAGTTCATATTACAGCAAGCAGTGAGTCCAGAAATAATTTTGGGACTGTTCTCTGATCTTATAACAACAAACACAATTGCTCTAGAGAGCTCTATAGTTTCTTCATAAGCGGTGTTCACTAAATATTTTTCATATTGAAATTTTAAAGGTGAGATATATTAATTACCGAAGTTAACATTTGGAATTATGAAATAATGTTTTATTACATTTTTTTGAAATCCGGCAATCACCTTATTGTCTGCAGAATAGTTAAGATTTTTATACGTGGTACATCAAACAATAACGATAGAATTGTATAAGTTTTCGCACCTTTTTGAAACAAATATTTTTTTTTTTTGCTTTTTGCATTTTGACATTAAATTGACTTTGAGCATTTCACAATTTCGAAATTGATCTAAAATGTGTAGAGAAAATTTTGATAGCAGTGAGGCATATTTACTGAGTTAGCTGAATAACTTTTTGTATCGAATTCAACCCGTTAACTTTGTTGTTGCCCTTACATGTTTAGGTTTTGGCAGGACGGCAGCACTTGAAGATAGCGAGCAGAGAAATGGCAAATCAAAGGCAGCTAGTTCAATATGAAGAATTTCGTAATAAGAAATTATAGACTGTTGGCTCAGTAAGATAGTAAAAAAACAAACTTTTACTCTATAAATTTTCTATTTTTCACCGTTGATATCAAAATTTTCAAAGCAAGAAACGTGTTTTGAAAAAGAAAAACTCGATCTTATTAGCAGTCTTATCATTTCATGTGTTATACTTGAAATAAAATTTCGTTCCTTAAAAGGTATTACTTTAATATATTTACAAAGATTTGGTAAACAGAAACAATAAATTTTATAAAATTTAAGATTTTCGAGACACCTAAGCTCAAAATTTGAATTTTAAACTTTCACAATTTCCACTTTAAATATTAGCAATTGCAGTCAAAAGCGAAACAGTTAACACCTTAGCTTAAAGCAATATTAAATGCACATTTCAAAGCCATTCACCTGGAAATATAATAGGTTTCTTTGCAACGATTGATGTACTACCAAAACAACTACAAGAACAGCAGACAATGTGCAAAAAAGTAATGCAGCAACAAATTGCCTATCATTATGCCACAAATAACGGCGTTTATCTACAATAAAAGCAAATCAATTTGAATTATGTGCCGCCAACAAAAACCCGTTAACCATAAATGGATGGGTATGGAAACACAAACTTAACCCAAACAAAAAACCACAAACAACAAAAACAAAAAAGGAAAATGAAAATGAAAAATAAACGCAACTCGGTTTCAGTGCATAAATCAAAGAGCAAGAGTGTTGTTGTAACAACGAAATCGACAAAAACAATCAACAACAGCAACAACAAGTGGAGTGCCTTGAAATGATTGATACAATTTGGCGGATAAACTGACATTGTAAATAAGTGTTATTACGAGGGGCGGCGGATGGCGAGAGGCAATGAAATTTGCCGCATGCGTGGAGGGTTGAATAACTACAAGCCTATTTGCAGGCGCACAACCTCGGCCAGTATATGCAAATAAATTGCCATACAAAACTGCATGCGTGTGTTATTGGTGTAGTTGAAAACTAACTGCGCAGTAAACTGACATAAAAGCAAAACACAAAAAACCCGAAAACAAAAATAAAAATAAATGCGACGCGGAAATTTGCGGCAAATATTATGTGTGTCAAGGCGCGTGGTGTGGGCGCAGAGCCTGAAGGGCGGTGGGTGCAGTTGAGTTGCAGCAGATGAGCAATATACCGTGATAATTTATGCACCCCAGTGGAAAAGCGTCAAATTTGTGCATTAAAAATGGCCACAAGCGGCGCACGGACGAGACTCGCGCATCAGTTACGCGGCGTGTGTGTGTTTGTGTGTGCACATCGCGCGCAACAGAATGTTATGGCGGTTTGTAAAAGTATGTGAACTCGGGAAAAACAATAAATTATTACACACTCATAACAACCAAAGTTGCATGCCACATACACACACACACATATATGCGAACATACGCCACCTCACATCGATCGAATTCGGCAGACACGTCGGTGCGAGATGAAGGTGGCAGACGCAGAAGCGGCTATGCTGTGGGGAGCGGGGGCGGTGGGTCTATGCGGAGTTCGGGGCTTAAAGGTTGAAAGTATGCGCATATCGAAAATTCCCCAAACGACATTTGCAGTTATGGGAAATTTTGCATACAAAAACAATAGCAATAACAATGTACCATATATGTAGCTAGTGTGAAGAGAAATCTGCGTTTGAGTATAGCAGCAGCAGCCACAACAAACATCGTAATCGGTGGAGATAAAGCGCTGCCAACAACACTAGTGCGGCACCGACAAATAAATAACGCCGCATAAAAGTTTATGTATATGTGTGTGTGTGAAGGTTTAGTGGTTGTTGTAATGTGTGCACGTAAGTTTCTTTTTCTTCTGGTGCGCCGCTTTTTGCGTTTGTTGTTGGGCTCTTTTTAGCAGTTTCATACTTTTAATGTGGTTGTATTGTATTTTATGGGCCAATTTTTTTTTTTTTTTTTGATTGTGCGTGCGAACCTTTTTTAAAAAGCTTTTTTCGATGCCACTTAATTTGATTGCTCAACCCTTGGATATGCGAGAGAGCAGTTTTTGCTATATATTTATATTTTGTTGAAATTATGAAATATGTCCTCTGTGCGTAATTGCGGTCAATTAACTGTTGATGAAACTACAAAAGAAAGTGCAAAAGTCGAGCTTCAAGCGAGTTATGAAGTTTAAAATTGCAAAATTTAAAGCAGTTTTCTAATATTTAACAAATAATCTATAATTCAGAGTACTAAGATAAAGTGGTGTGTAGTTCAAGGTGATAATGAGCTATGGTTTATCACTAAGTAAAATTTAAGATGACGTTAATATAAAAAAAAAAAAATTATGTTTGTTTAACATAACATCTCATACTTGTATATCGAATTTGACCTGGACAGATGACAAAAAAGAAAAAAACTTTACATATTTTAATACAAATCAGTATTAACGACTTTAAAATAGGCTCCTGAGCCAATGCAAGCATGCCATAGCTTAATCCATTTTTCCATATATTTGCCTCGGCTGGGTTGGCCTAGATCTTGAGTGTACAAATACTTGAGTTAATCATCTTGATAAAGTAAGACAAACAAATTTTGGTTATCTTCTGTAATCCCTGACACATTGCAGCGTGATATAGGAGAAGAAAAGCGATGTTATGGGTGAATTCTAACGCGACATTCAAAATTTGCTTTAAAGCTTCTAACTCCATTATGGATAGTTAATGCAATAATTCTTGAACAAATGCTTTTTGTGGTAAATAAATCAAAAATTTTCTAGAATTTCGCTCTCAGAAGAGGATATTGAGCATTTGCAGAAACTTTTACGTATTATTGAGCTTCTCAAATTACTTTTAGGTTTCATATACGAGCATATTTATTTCAACGTGAGTTATTTTATTTTATGACATTTAAAGAGTTTAGCCTAATGTTGCGTTTATTACTTAGAAAAGCCTTCTTGTGAATAACTGCAAAAATCTATGGATGCTTTACAACAACTCAGTGCAGTTTATGTTGTTAACACCACCTGTCGGATTTATTATCGTTATTATGCACCCTTACCCTTACTCTACCTTATATGTTTAAATTTAAGTACAACTATTTGAATTGCTTTTTTGTACAGAGTACCTATTTGAGACAAATAATCTGAAAAAAAAATTCTATGAATACTCCTTTTTGTATAATATTACAGTTTAAGGAAATAAATTAACCTAAGCAACAAAACAAACTAATTTTATAAAAAAATCATATTAGTTGCTTTAAAAAATTTAAAATTTTTGGCAATTCTCTTTTATATACTCACTTGTAGGCATATTCCAAATTATCGCCACAACCACCCCACGTCCAATCATCGTGCAATTGCTTAGGGCGCGAACCACGCGAACAACCACATGACGCCAATTGCCCATCGCGGCAGGCACGAGCTATAAAACTGGTCACCATAGCAGCGGCGAGCGCGTGAATGAAAGCCATTTCCGGTGAGCCTGTAATTAAAATGATGTAAATTTGTATTAGTTCAACGAAACTATAGGTTATAAAAGTGTGTGGATGTACAATGTAGCTGTTCATATTATATTAATAATGACGCTCAAAATTGTATATAAATATGGGTATATGAAGTATTGCCTTGGCAAACTTGAACTCACTCATATATGAAAGCGAAAATTTGCCGAAACTAACAAATTGTATACAGCATATTGGCGCACTTTAGGAAAGTGCAATTAATTTAACGCTCTTTAAATCGATATGCCCATCGAAGCGCACTGTGTCGAAAGCAGCATTTGTCGCTCTGAGTGACACGTTGAAAAGCATTTGACAGCGTAATGATGCCGTAGTTAAGTACAGTTTAGCATTCCACGGAAAACGTTTTTCTAGTTTTTTCAAGCTACAATGTTTGATATAAACAGCTTTTAAGTCGAATTAAGATTATTTAATAAGTAAAATAGATATTTTATGTAAATCTTTATTTTAATTTTGATCTGGTAGTTCATAAGGCGGCTATAGTGATCCGATATAGTCGGTAAAAATCTTTCTGTATTAAAAATACTATAACTTTTGAATCGCTTAGGATAACATATTTTATATCGCAATTTTTATAAAATAGCTTTTTTTCTGTGTATAGGTGCATTTTGACCCACAAAGTCGACAGCTTAGTAGAAAAAGCAAAATATATATAATTCAACTTTTTGTTTCATTAAACTCTCTGGAAACATTTACAATTAAAGGGACACAAAAAAAAAAACTACAAAGAGAAGATTTCAAAGATAAAAAGATGATTTCAAGCGCTTTTCATGAGAGTGCAAAAAAGTGTGTTAAGGATGTACCAATAAAAATTACACTCATATTCTCCGTTAAAAATTATTTTGGAGAGTGCTCTAACTTTGATATATTTTAATTTTTGTTTATAATCCAAACTTAAGGATATGGCAACGTCTTTTAATATGTTTAAAATTTATATCATTTATAAATAGGAGTTCCGTTCTAATGTGTTCCAGAACTGACGCTGTGTGAATCAATATCAAAACTACATTGCTTAGATTTGGTTTGAGTTTCAATCCGACTTCTTATAACAATATTTGGATTGAAAAAAATATTTTTTATCTGTTGGCTATTCAGTTTTCTTAGAAGCAGACAAATTGAAAATTTTTTAACACCACCAGCTTAGTTGCCCGCACTTCATATTCCTAGAATTTAGCGTTTGACTTATTTGATTTGCCTGATGGATATTGTCATCACAAAATTTTTAGAGTATTTAGGTTTCTAAAACATTATATTTCCGAGAAAACAATCGATATTATTGTTGCTTTTTTACTTAAATAACTATAATTTATCATGTTCAGCGAATTGGTAAAAATTTACAAAAATTTAAATTAATAAATTGCTAGATAAGTATTGCATTTGCCATGGTAATATGTAATCTTCTGAAAATAGAAATTCTGTGTAAACTTTTTCCGGCACTTCAAGTGTATGATAAGGAAAAAGTACTGCTTAGTGGCCAATCCACAGCTGTCAAAACAATAATAAATTTAAAAACTTTGTTATTTTCTAGATGCTATAAAATATTAGGCAATCTAATATCAGCGCTGATAACTACTTTAATTTTTGAAATTGTACATATCAGGGTTTAGTAGAATTCTTAGAAAAATCACGTTTGATAAGGAGTAATTATCATAAATTGCTAAAACTATATAAAGCAAAGAAATTTCAAGCAAAATCAACAGTAGTCACTACCTATTCACGCAATTAGTATATTAGCTGAAATCCAATAGCAAATATAGAAATTACTAATCAAAATGAAAGTTATTGTGCAAGTTTGTGTGCTCTTGGCCATTATCGCAGTCGCTTATTCCGCGAGCTCAACCTGGGGTGTTCACAATGTAACTGACAGAGTAATTCTCAATAAACGAGTAATTTATCCAGCTGTACGAAATGTTGCGCAAACTTTTTACTTCGATATTCCAGAGTCGGTAAGTTACATAAGAAAATATCTGGGACGTGTTTCTCAGTAAAGTTTTATTGTCATTAGACTCATTTCAGGAATGATCCATTGTTGCACTAATTAATCAATAATTTATATTTGCAGTATCAAAGCAACAACAGAGTGATTAGCGCCATTTACTTGCAAGACCAATTCCAGAACAGTTCGGGGCCAGCTAATACTTTAATGTTTGGTGGGCCCGGTTGGACTTACGCTTCTATACAAATGAGAACTCAAGCCGGCCTTGGTTTAAATGTAACATATGTTGTTTATGGCTATTAAATTAATAAATAAGTTGACAAAATTGCAATCAATTGAGATATAAAAATTTACAATCAATTATTTCACTCGCCGGGTGGGGCTTGAGTCGAGATATTTAAAAAAATATGTAGAGATCGATTTTTCTTTATGTAGTATGGGGACTTGAAAATTTATCATACGATATCGAAAACTTAAAAGATTTGCTCTTAGCTGCGACCTAGATTTGGTGGTTCCATAAAGTTATAGTACATAAATAGATGTGTGAGAGTGTAAAGTGTGGGTGTGATTTTAATATATTCATAATAACACTCAAAATTGTATTTCCTATGGGTTTATGATACTCAAAATAGTATTTAGTATGGGTATTTGAAGTAATGCCTCGGCAAACTTGGACTCACTCATATATGAAAGCGAAAATTTGCCGAAACTAACAAATTGTATTCAGCATATTGGCGCACTTTTGGAAAACGCAATTAATTTAACGCTCTTTAAATCGATATGTCCATCGAAGCGCACTGTGTCGAAAGCAACATTTGTCGCTCTGAGTGACACGTTGAAAAGCATTTGACAGCGCAGCGGTAGCGTAATTAACCAGAGTTTCGAAAAACTATTTTGTATATTAGCTTGTATATATATTTGACTCTGTGTATGTGACCTGTCAACAATATGAACAGTCTTCCATCAGCAACGGCTGCCTATGACACTAATCAACTTCCATTTCATTCAAGTTTAATGCCAAATTAATAATGCCAATGATAATGCGTACCACACCGGCATAAATACATAGTATACAAATATAAGGGTGGAGCGAAAAAAAGATTTTTTTTTTGCTTAGCCTGAGGGTCAAATTTGTAGATTATAAGAAAAGAAATTTTTTGGGAAAAATTTGTTTTTTAACATCTCACTTTTAAAGTAAAGTTCCGAGTTAAAATTTTTATTTCGTAAAAAATATCTACAAATTTTACCTAAAGCTTTCAGGCTAAGCAAAAAAAAAATAATTTTTCGCTCCACCCTAGTATATATATATATAAGTATATATATATTCTTGTAGAAACGCACTCATATAATTGCATGATTTGTGCGAAACCTTGTAGGCTTAAATTAGTGAAACTACAGGGTGTTACACAAAATAGGAATATGATTCATTTCACTCAATGTCTAATATCGGCAAATTTGAACATTGTTGTCAAAGAGTAAAAAAAACAGTTTGATTATAATTAAAATCTAAATCAGAATAAAATTTCTTTAAGTATTTACAGTGTTGCTATAAATCAAAAATATTTTTATCTAAAGATATAAAATTTTCTTAAATTTTAAAATATTTTTTGTTTATTTTATAATTAAAAATTATTTGAAGCGAAATTCAAGCTTTTTGCATTTCTTGGTACTTTTTTTTCATATAATAAAGTAACTAGAGGCATTGATACTTGTAAGCCGATGTCATTTATATCCAGCTAGTGATTAAGAAAGCACTTATTTTCATTAATATAAGGCGCAAGGACAGACAACTGTCATAGAAAGACTCACTCTGAATTTAATGAATATAAATCACATATTAGCCGGTATATGTTAGCGTTAATTTCGAAATTTTTTTATTATGTATATATGTAGTAATGGAACTATTCACACGATTTTACCAATTTTTTACAAAAGGGCACATTATTATCAAGAAAACTGTGGTTCAAATGTTTAGTGTCTGCGAGCTTGAAAATTTTTGGTGTAATTATGAACATTTTTCGTACCTTAAACGCACTATTCGTGCAAAGTTTTATCCGGATACATTGACTGCTTTTTGATTTGTTATTTTAACCAATCTGCCTTGAGTGCCAAGAAGCACAGTTGTCAAGTCTCATAAAGGTATCTCAATTTCTACCCAATTTATAAAAATATCTATCACACCCTGTAATTATTTGAACTACATATATACTGTTACTATCATAATCCTTATTGACCCATTCGGTGGAAATCAGTCAGTCAACCAAGTAAACTGTACATTTCCGCCACATAGGCGAAATTAATACGTGCCAAGTGTATTGGCAAAGCAAAAGGCAAATAATAGAGGGAGATCGACAAACGGGTGCAACGATGCGTATTCGTGTCGTCAGCCAAATGTCACATCAATTCTCTGCGTGTGAATGGGAATATAGAGTAATAGGAAGTGGAGTACACATAGGTATGCTTATACAGAATATTAGCATTATATATGTAAATATTATATGTATATAAGTGTATGTGTGCAGGGTTTATTATAGCTAGATAGCTGCTCTTTTATAACTAGACTTTCGAAAGTTTATACAAAATAAGTAATTTTCTGTCAAATAATTTGAACTCCTTAATATCTTCAACGGTATTTAATGTAGTCTCCTGTACCAACGGCTATGTAAATCTACTTAAATATACCTATATCTACACATGACTACGTTTGTAGCACATGGCGACCGGATGTGGCTTTGATCTCATACACCACCACACATACACAGTTGTTTCCGCTCGCCGCTTAGTTCAACATTAATTGCGCTTCACCGAATTACACAGCCAAAGCTTCGTTGCATTGCCAAAAAGGTAACGAACAGAATAAATGTGCGCTAAGTAGACAAGAAAAAAGTAACTAACGCAAGCAGCATACATACAACAACAACTCATGTCTTCCTTACTTTAAGTTCGAAAGTTGGCAACTTTGTTGACCTTAATGCCTATTACACATCTATATTGGCTATAAAAATATGTATTTTTATCCACTGAGGCATGTGGTTTTGTATGCCTTTATCGGTTTTGGCAAATAAAATGCGTCAGCATGACTTCATTCTTTTAATTGAAATTAAATTTCATTGAGTCTGTAGTACATGAAAGAACTCTTCACAAAGGACACACTATCAGTGCACAGCATGATCTTTTACATTTCTGTGCAGATTCAAAGCAAAACGACGCTTGCTAATCAAACGCAGTTGGCTACAAGCAGCGACAAATTGTCTCTGTCTGACACGCGTCTTTTACTTTTATATATTTTTTTTTTATCTATGCTGTTTTTTAACGTCGATATGTAGTGACAGCTCCAGCACGCCATGCCATAATGATATTGATTTTGACTTATTTTAATGAAATCTAGCTCTAAGCGGATTATGAAATGTAGTTAACTAAAAAATACAGCAACTCCCCTTGTGTTTTTTGTAATGGTTTTTAATGTTTTTCTAATTTTAATGCAGGCGCGTGGGCAATTCAATGAGGAGATCGACGAATTCGCAATTCGGAAAGAGATGTGAGCAAAAAAAATTTGTGATGGAATGTGGACGGTCTGGTTTTTTATTTTTTAGTACATGCTTTGTGGTTAGGTATGCTTTGTGGTTCTTTTGTTGCTTACATAATTTATTGAAATTGGATACTAGTATGTTTCTATTTGAAAAATATTGAGATAATATGAACATTTAATAACTTTGAGATTTGTTTTTGAATATATATCCATTTGATTTTAAAATTTATTTCACAATTTTACTAAAATTCGTTTGTTTTCTTTTATGAGACATTAAACTTTAACTTGATGATTATTTTTGTTACGAATGATGATACTAAAAAATAACCTTAAATTCCCACTATTCGTCTTATATCATCAATGGTCTTCTTTCGTATCGATCCCTTGCATCGATTTGGATCAGATATGACTCGAACTGACAAAAATAACTATAGTACATTCATACATTGTTGTAAGTCTCGGATGGGATGGCCTTCATTATCTTCAACGAACTTTAGATATTTTCGGTTTTGGTTAGTTTTTGGAACGCCATTCGCTACAATGTTGGGAAGTTTCGACGCCATATTTATTAACTGACGTCTAGCCACTGATAATAATTCGATTCATAAGTGTAAGGTCCTCAGCTACATTGTCTAGCATAATTTTCAACGATTCCCTAGCCGTGATTCTATAGGAAATTACAAGCAAGCTCGTTATATAATTTTTATAAATTTTTATTTTCATAGCGTACGAGGAAGATCAAACATATACAATACACGATGTGTATTATCCACTTTTCTCCAACGCCCACAGATCATGATAGCATCGAACCGACTTTCGCTAATATATATTTATATGAAAAAGTTGCGTTAGAATACTAAATTCTCAGCAAGTGACTAAAAACTTATAGGACCCTCCAATAGTTGGAATCTTTACTTTAAGACCACGATGATTAAATATGATTTTGGAGCTTCAGAAATGTTACGAAGATTCTACACTGCATATGGATTTCAGTTCGTAATGTTTAGACCACAATTTGGCAATATCTGAGTCTTGAAAAATCGAAAAATCGAATATACAAGTATGTCACTAAAATATTTTTTACTTCCAAAAGTTAAGTAATTCTATAACGGCCGCATCTTTAACCACTATAATTTGGATATTCCGTTTAGGATCGCCGTTTAGTGACGCGTACTATTTTAAGCTTATTCGAATATGAAAGCTGTCAGACGATTAAGGTCTGTGGCAAAAACCTTTCAAGGTTCAAATACTGCAATCTCAGACACCTCACTTAAGTTTATTTACCTATCATTTGTAATAATTTTGTGAATATTGTCAAAAAATATCAAGACAATTTTCTAAGCAAGGACACTATTTTTTGCCCTGAACAGGGAATATTAAGTTTGCCATTAAGTCTGTA